AGGGCTGCAGGAGAAACGTGCGTCCCAGTCCACGGGCAACGACACCAGGCGGGAGCTCCTGCGGGGCGGGGCCTCGGGGTCCCCTGCCGGCGGGACCGCTTCAGAGGGAGGCCAAACGCCAGCACCCCGGACCTCCGCTCACAGGGCTGAGGGGCCGGCCGGCGCGTTCTGGAGGGAGGGCGCCCACGGCGCGGACAGGGAGCCGCCCGCCCCACCCAGCTCACCTGCCTCACTGTCCCGATGGGCCTGGCTGGGAGGGATCCCCCCCAGGGAAATGGTGAGCACGCTGAGCCCCCCGAAGTCCTGCGTGGGGCGGGTGACTGCTCTGCTGTGCGCCCCATCCAGGGACAGCACGGTGGACGAGCCGTTCTTGGAGACGAGGAACGTGTGCCAGTGGCCGTCGGCCACGAACACCTCCGGGATGGTCCTCTCCACCTTCCCCGCCACCCCGGCGTCCGACGCGAAGTGCACCTTGCCGCTCTTAATCTGCAAGACGAGGGCCCGACTCAGCGCACAGCGGGAGGGCGCCGCCGAGGGCCAGAGGATGGGCAGCGGGGGGGGGGCGCGGGCGGGGACGGGCAGCGGCCCCCGCCGCTCACCTTGACCGTGGTGTAGTTGCTGGTCTCCTGCACGTGCAGCAAGACCCCGTGCTCGCTCCTCGTCCTGAACGTCACCTCCAGGCTGTCCACGCCGAAGGGCTCCGGCGGGCCCTCGCGGAGGCTCTGCCACAGCAGGTAGTCCCGCTTCTCGCGCTGACTCATGAGGTAGTCCAGGCGGCCCCCGCCCTCCAGGCTCAGGGCCGTGTCCGCGCTGACGGCTGAGAGCGGAGGGCGACAGGCACTCAGGGCTCGCGGGGCGCTCACGGGGTGCCGGAGGCGGGTGCTCAGGGGGACCCCACACCTCCAGGTGACCGGCAGGGCCACCTCCCGCAGGAGCGGGCGCTGAGGGACCACGAGGACACTCAGCGGAGGAGAGGCCCTGCCCCGCGCGGCGGAAAGTCGAGGGGACAAGGAGAGGCCCACGGGGGACTCACACCCCCAACCCGCCTGCGGATCACTGCAGAGCTTCCTTGCAAGTGCTCAGCCCCATGTTGGACGCGTGAAATATAAAACGTCTGTGACGGTTCTGGGAAAACTCCCTGGAATCTGCCGCAGGCCACGAAGGGGGGCGACCCGCCAGCTGCACCCCGACCCGCGGCCTGTCTGCGCTCGGAGCTTCCGCGCTATTGTGCAGAACGCGCCCCACTGCCACTCGCCAACGGGGACCCCGCCCCCTCTGCCAGGCCCAGACCCTCCCTGGAGGAGACCGGAGCCCACGCGGCTGGGCCGGGCGGCGGGTCCTCGCGGGAGCCAGCCTGGCGCACCGCCCCCAGCGCCTGCTTGAGGAAGAAGGGGCGCGCGCTGGTGTCGCTGAGAAGAAGCCCGAGGAACCAAGACAACCGCTCGGCCGCTGGAGGTCTGCAGCGCCGGACTCCGCCCGACTCACGACGGCTCCGAGCGCCCGGGAAGTGGCCGGGCAGCTGCGGCGC